AGAGACCCCCCCTACGAAATAAGCCCTCCACGGATAAAGCCGCCGCCTCTCGCTCCGTCGCAACTCACCTGAGCTTCTTCCCCCGCCCCCGGCTCTTCAAGGGTGGGGGCCCAAAGGCCTCTCCCCCCCCAGCCCCTCCATGGCTCGCTGTTGTCTCTTTAAGCCTCTTTCTGTCCCTCTCCTCCCCAGCAGGCAAAGAGCAACGCCTTTGCGCTAGCGGCGTAAAGCCCACGGGCGCCCTATGGCGTTGACGTCACGGCGCCGGCGCAAACCGCGTTAGTGAATAGCGAGCTCCGCTTCAGGAGCTTAGGAGACTCTCGCCGCCTTCTCTCTAAGTCTGGCCATCCGCTGGAGGGGAGGGGGGCGGGCTCCCGTAAAGGGTTTTTGGCGCATGCGCCGAAGAGAGGGGAGCTGGAAGAAAGAGAAAGGAGAGGGCGCAGGCGGGAAGAAGAGAGGGAAGCGTAGAGGTGGCGACGCGGTGGCCGTCTCGAAAAGACTTCCGGCTTTCTGTGGGATGCTGGCCGGGTCGCCCACGTGCGGGGAGAGAACCGTGCAAACTCGCACGCCTGAGCACAGAATTTTGGAGGCGTGCTAACCACGAACATTACCCCAATCAAATCGTGCCTGTGGTGACTTTGGAGTAGGCCCCGGTGAAAACGATTGTTCCAGTGGGGATGATGGGATTCATAGTATAATTACAGTGACCATGTGTCCTTGTATGATTAAGGACAGCCCTTTATTTCAGAAAGCTGTCCGTTAGATTTATTTCGTTATTTATTTTCTTGGTTTTGCTCTTGAGCTTTCCTTGGCAAAGCAAAGTTATAAACAATTGATTTTTTTTTTAATCTATGAATCTCTTTCAGAGTTGCCTCTTTTTCAGGTTTGTCCTTTATTTTTTCCAAGAAAATATGGTCGCTGTAAGGATAATGCATCTCTACTAGGGTGTAGGACTGGCTGACGATAGAATAAATATGCGCTGGATTGGATCGCAATGTTCTGCATGTTTGCCTCCTACCATACTTTTGTTTTTTTTTTTTGTTAATTTATTTTATAACTTAAAAGACAAGAATGCAGAAATTTGACAAACAATGAAATATAAAATATAAGAAACAAAAAAAACCCCGAACTAATGAGGAAAAAAACTAAACAGAACCAAGAATAGAAAAACCCTCCCAATCATTCAGCATTTAAATATTTTTATTGATTTATTATGTGCAGTCAAGCTGTTTCCAATTCCTAGTGACTACATATCACTTAAATATTGTATAGGAATCTCTGGTTTACAAAAAAATTACCTTATACTCTATTAATTACCAAACAAGAGAAGAATAATACCATGCTACCGTGCTTATAAAAATACTTAAAAAAAAAACAGGAAGAGATTAAGTCTGCACCTCATGCATGTCTGCCTGCCGTGGCTTTAAAAGACATGATATGGTCTAGCTCAAGGTAATCAGCTTGTGTCAGTTCAAACCACTGAAATTACCAAATGTTTCTCCATTTACAGCACGGTTTCTCAACCTTGGCGACTTGAAGCCATCATGCTGGCTGGGGAATTCTGGGAGTTGAAGTCCACACATCTTCAAGTCACCAAGGTTGAGAAACCCTGATTTACAGTATAAAACTTTTCTGGATGCAAGGGACCTCTAATTACCCAAATGAGCATTTGTTTTGTGCTACAGCCCTGCAGTCTAAAGTGATGATATCTTACAAAATCAGATCGAAAACCTGTTTCCAATCTGCTATGCTGTGCTTTTAAGGAGACTGAAGGTAGGGGAAAAAGGGGCAGTAATGCCATAGATACTGGTAAAATCCGGTCTCCCTTGAGTCAAGCTTGAGGCCTGATGACAAAGGCCTACAATTCAGACATGGTTTCCCACTGTCATCTGGGGTTTTTACAGCTAAACAGTCTGGTCCGTAGCCCTGATTTTCTGATGTTGTCCTGTCTGAGTAGGTCTAACCTGCTTAACTTTTTCAGATCAACCAAGGTTAGTTAGGTGCTGCCATCTAGTGTTGCCCAGCTACCACTACTCAGAGGTATAGTAGTCCCTACATTAACGCCCAGTTTATGGAGGACCCCCAGTGCTTCTGATGCTGGCCTTGCAGAAGTTAAATGTCTTTTGACAATAAGAATAACAAATTTTATTACGGCTATTGGCCAATCAGAAATATCTTTTGATGCCCTTGGGAAAACTTTTCTTAGGTAGACGTATCAGTATTGTGGGCTCATTTATATAAATCTTTGGTGCCAATGTAGTTTAATTAGTATGTCCTGTTCTGGCATTGCAATAATAATAATAATAACAACTCCCAAAAATTATTTTGTTGGTCATACCCCATCCTGAGAACCACCTCCATTTGAGGGTTCAGACAAACTGGAGAGGTTCAGAGAAGGAGAAATGGAGAAGATCGGGACTAAAAATTAAGTTCCATGAAGAGTGACCGAAGGATAATAGGATAGCAGTCTTCAAATACTTGAAAGAATATGCAGACGGCCAAAACGTGTTCTCCGTTGTTCCAGAGTGCAGGATATGGAATAATAGCTTTAATAGTCTGACAGAGGAACCCATTATCTCAAGAGATTATGGGTTCCCCTTCATAGGTTGCATTCAGGCAAAGGCACTTTAGTTTGGATTCCTGCAGTGAACCTCAATTTAGGCTATCTTACAGCAGAAAAGATGCAGAACAGGACAGCTGAAACTGTCAAGGCCTTTGAACAATTCCTGTGTAAACAAAGGTGACAACGCTGGGGAAAAATTAAGACGGGATATAACACACATGAATATAATTAACCAAGAGGGGTAGAAAGTGAGAAGGCATCTTTCATAAAACCAGACTTTCTAAGAGCCTGCCTGGCTCAATATGAACTTGCTACTGAGGTCAGCAGGAGAAGAGGCCTCTGAAACATGCCCTCTGAAAGATGCCCTCCATTTGTTGAGTACATGGAAAAAGATCCCCCCCATGTTGCTGTCGTTATGCAAAGGAATTATTTCACACAGTAATTATCTCAGCACCCACTTTTTTCTCTTTCTAGAAGAGTCAAGCTCTTCCGCTTTAGCCCAGCCTTTCCAGTCTGAATTAGTTAATTGTGGTTTTAATTTTTTAAAATCTGATTTTACCTGTTTATGTTGTATTTTTTTCTAGTTAGCATCCTTGAGTGTCTTCTGAATAGGAAAGTGGCATATACAATGAATTACTGTTACAGTATTATTGTTATTTACACAAGATCCAACAGATAGTTCTAACTGGATTTGGTACTTTTGACTATCAGCTCCTTCTCAAGGATTTAGGATAGCTAAAGAGACCATCATAATAAATGCACTCTTCCAAGTAATGCTGCTTTTTGTAATTGATGTGTTGAGTTTCTGTCCATTCCTATTGTGTCCAAGTGCTTTGCCAGATCTTTTGGGATGGCACCAAGTGTACCAACCACCATTGGCACTACCAACTTTCCACATTAAAATACCCTAAAATTCCTAAACTACATCCAGGTCTAAATTGCTGGCTTGCTAATGCCCCTAACCAGTCCATGTGTGTCATTCAGGCCTGAAGTTCCAGTTGGCACCACCCAAATGAGGTGTATTGGCTGCAATGCGAGGAACAGGACATAGCCCCAGTGCGAATCCATTTTGCTGAATGCTGGCTGAGGATGCAACTGGATCTACTGGTGAAAAAAGCAATGGCTTAGCTCAGTGTTTCTCAACCTTGGTAACTTTAAGATGGGTGGACTTTAAGATGGGTAGATTAAAATGGGTGGAATTCCACAGCATGCTGGATGGGAGATTCTGGGAGTTGAAGTCTGCCCATCTTAAACTTACCAAGGTTGAAAAACACTGGCTTAGATAATAAAACTGATCATTCTTCTGGCTGCTTTGATCTCCTCCTTGGCTGGAAAAAAATTCATAGCCACAACCTTAGGCTACTGCCAAATTAGCCCCATTTATAAATAACCACTGCAAGTGAGAAAATGAGCATGCTCATTAACATCAGAGATTTGTGGCATCTTAAAGACTAGCCAAGTTGGATTGACAAGCTTTTGAAGATTGGAGGTGAAACAGAGTGATCTGCAGAAGTTTATGCAATACTCAGTTTATTTGGGTTTAAGGTGCTGTAAGGTTCTTTGTGGTTCTTGCTGTTGAAGAATAACACTTGGATGTGATTCATGTTAGTTAAAAACATGAAACAAGCAAACCCATACACATTTTTTCCAGAGTTATGTGTTTATTTAGATCAGTGTTTGTCAACCTCAGCAACTTTAAGATGTGTGGACGTCAACTCCCAGAATTCCCATGCTGGCTGGGGAATTCTGGGAGTCTGAAGTCCACACATCTTAAAGTTGCTGAGGTTGACAAACACTGATTTAGATGCACAGGTCTCCAAATCAAAAGATTAGTAGCCATCACTCTCTTCCAAGAAGTTTCCTTTCAAGGAACCATAAATGGAATTAGATCTTGAATTCCAGATTACTATATTTTTTTTAAAGTTATCTGCTGTTTTTCTCTCCTGTGCTTAGAACTGACTGAATCCTTTACGTTTCTGGTGTTTAAACTCAGCATATTTATACTCTTAGAATTAGGTGAAGTGCAACATCACCAAAAAAGAAAAGAGCTATTCAAGATATATAGAAGGAATGGCTATTCCGAAAAACTGCAAGCGGCGCTGAATGCCAAAAACAAATATGTAGAGAAAAGCGACACAAAAGGGATTTTGTTGGTTGTAGCAACCGAATAATGTATGTCTCTAATACTGTATCCAATGTTTCCCATTCTTTCTTCTGGCCTTCCACCACTCATGTGGACGCATCCAATCAGATCCGGAAGTCAAGGCCTTTTGAGAACGATTGCGGCCTCCTCTTCCTTTTTCTTCATACCTTTGTCTCTAAAGACAGGAAGAGCGTAAAGCACATTTGAAAATCTGGCAGCCAGAGTGGGAAGGCGGTTTTTGCGACGGAAAGGGAGAAGGTTTTGCGACACTGTCAGGCGGCGTTCTTTTAACCCTTTCCTCTCCGGGTACTTTTCTTCTTTTTTCACGACAAAGAAGTTTCCATGAACTCGAGTCGATCGGGAAATCTATTTCAACTTTTCCATTTCCAACAGAAAATAAAAAATATTGCACAACACATACAGGAAGCTCACAAGCAGCTCTCCCCATTTCTCCCCGATCAGATAGGGGACAAACTTTATTGCCTTGCAATAATTAATGTGCAACTGCCTCTCCAATAATTTATCTAATTATTTCTCTTTAAAATTATTCTAAGGAAGTGGTCACAGGAACCCCCGTCTTGTGACAGCGAGTTCCAAAAGCTAAAAGAGCATGGAAATAAGGAGATCGAGTG